TAGACTCTATCTCTCAAACACAGGGGAATCATGCTGAGCATGACTGATAATGGAGTCAAGAGACTGCCACTGCCAGATGTGGTGACTCATGGCCATAATCCCACCACTCTGGAGGCAGAGGCAGAGACAGGTGGATCTCTGTGAATTCAAGGCCAGATTGGTCTATATCATGAGTTCCAGGCCAGGGCTACATAGTCAGACCCTGTCTTCCTTTCTTTTCTTTCTTTTTTTTTTTTTTTTTTTTTTTTTTTTTCTTTGTTTTTCAAAATAGGGTTTATCTGTGTAGCTCTAGCTGTCCTTGAACTTGCTTTGTACTGGGATTAAAGGCCTGGGCCACCACCAGGCTAAGACCCATCTTGGAAAAAGAAAAAAAAAAAAGCTGCTCCTGGGAAGAGCAGACAACGGATGGATGTCCAAGCTAAGCAGGAGGCAGTGCATCTGAGATCTATAATCACCGGTGACAGAGACACTTCTTGGCTGACTCCCGAGCAGCCCCAGAGTATAGGTACCATAACCGATCAAGGCCAAGAAGTACTTCATCTGGCAGCTGTGGTTCAGCATCCTTCTGTCAAGTGACTTATTTTGGCTGTTTGAACCATCCATTGCAAATCTGTCAATTAAGAGTCAGGAAAGTGATCGAATTAGGCTCTAAGGATGATGCCTGGAGGGTGGTCTGTGATGTCAGTCACTCGGTGAATAAATCTTCACATAACCCCAATCCTCATGTGGCAACATCGTGAACTCTTTGAGGGTCTAGTGCAATCAAAGCCTTTCAGGGTTTACAAATCATTTGTGGTGCCATGGCAACAGAAACTGCTCCCACAGGGGATTCTAAAGCCCGAGTCGGGGGCCCAAAGGAAAAGGAGTTGCTGCAGCATTTGGATGGCACCCCACTCATCTAAGGAACTAAAGTAAAATATGAAGAATTAATAAGACATTGACATAGTGAGAATTTTCTCTCCTGCAGTCTAGAAGAGCAAACAAAATGGAACATACTGTGTGTCTGGTCTTTATTTTGACCAACAGCAGATCAACTGATTGCAGGAAAGAAAATGGCATGGTTTTGAGAGCTAGCAGGATGGATAGGGATGCTGAGACATCCTGGACAACTGGATGGTCCCCCCACCCCACCCCGGACTCAAGGGAGCAATTTTCAAGATACGTAGAGAAAAGAGCCATGTGGGGCTGGGGATAGAGTACAGTTGCCTAGTATTCGTGAATCCCTGTGTTAGCACTCTAGCAGTGCATCGATCCAGTATGGTGGCACATATCCATAATTCCCAAACTCAGGGGGTAGAGGCAAGAGGATTAGAAGTTTAAGTCATCCTTGGCTACACAGTGAGTTTGAGGCTAGCCTGGGATACATGAGACCCTGTCCAAAAAGAAAGAGACGGGTGAGGGGGAGCAAGGGAGGGTGAGATGGGAGAAAGAATCGACAGGCATCTAGGGGAGCATTCTGACTCAGCTGTTACAAGGCTCCAGACGCCGAACAATGGGGTCCAATAGCAGTGTTGCCACACAGGAATGAGATGTCATCAACAAAAGGAATGGGTCCAGGAAGTTCAGCGGTGTTATGACGGGGCTCTGCATGCCTGGGCCAGCACCAGGCTTGGGGCCACCAAAGGGCAAAGTAAAGGCAGAGCTCCCTGCTGGAAAGGCTGTGCTTCACAGATCTTCTGGGCCCCCGAGTCCTGGTGGCTTGAGACCTTTGTCCTAGAGGCACACTGCTGCCACCTTCATGATCTCCCCGTCACTTGCTGGCCTTGAGTTTGCACTTCGGTATCCTGCCAGTCTGTGGCTCTTTGAGGCCATGGCTCCTGATGTTGTCACTGATGCGGGTCTCAGGGTTTACAGAGAGTTTGCCAAGACATTTGAGCATGGTGCTTTATAGGGCAGCAGGCAGAGCTGTCTGTCAGGCCCAAAAAGGAACGATGGCTCCTGTGATCACATTTGCCAGGATTCCTACAATTGTAAGCGCTGTAGCAGTCAAGACAACACACTAACAACTCCTTTCCTGGGCAAATGTGAGACTTCTTCAATCCTGCTTGGCAAAGGCCTGAAGCATCCCCCAACCCCCATGTGCCTGGGGGGGGGGGCAGTTTGACTCCCTCCCCTGTGGACTCTGTCTGGTTTCTGGATTTCCTACTCTTGATTGTCCTTCCTGCTGGCCTAATCCAGGCAACAACATAGTGGCAGCATCTCTGGTTTTCCGCTAGGACATTCCTGATACCCGGCCTTTCACGTTGGATCTAGGGCCCAGGACAACAGCCCATCCAACCCTGGTTTCTCAGGACCACTACTGCCCACTCAGGGCTCACTGTCTAGAGCTCTGTTCTTATAGGGGAAAAAGGAAATGAGGATGTTCATTTCTTGAGCTGGAGACATAGCTCAGTGGTAGAGCACTTGCCTCGAAGGAGCCCGGTCGTGGGTTCACTCCTTCATATCACACACACAAAAGCAAAAAATATTCCTTTCTTTCTTTTTTTTTTTTAAGAAGCAGAAAAAAAGGATCTCTCTCACTGAACCTAAGTCTGGCTGGTTGGATAGACTGGCTATCCCAATAAACCCAAGGATCCTTCTGTTCCTGCCTCTCCAGGTCTTGCTAACTCTCCTGGCTCTCTCTCTCCTCTCTCTCTCTCTCTCTCTCTCTCTCTCTCTCTCTCTCTCTCTCTCTCTCTCTCTCTCTCCTCTCTGCTGAATGAAGGTGAGTGTGCAGGTGTATGTGCACATGTGTGTGTATGTACACATGTGTATGCCATAATAGAGGGGCACTTCTCCTCATCTTAGTGCCTTGAGACCGGATCCTGAGTGAGCACAAAGCTATTTCAGCTAGGTTCAGAAGTTCACCATTTCAGCTAGGTTGCCTGACCAGGGAGCCCCTGGGATCTACTTGTCTCCGCCCTTCAAGACTGGTTTTACAGGCATGTATACCTGTGCCTGACGTGTTACACGAATGCCAGGGACTTGAATTCAGGTCCTCAAGCTTCCAAACACTTGCCCATTGAACTATCTCCCTAGCCCTACTCAGCCAGCTTTTTACATGGGTTCTAGGGATGTGAACTCAGTCCCTCATGGTTGTCTGCTAAGCCATACACCACCCCCAATACTCATTTCTTATAAAAAGATTTAGAAAGACAATAATGAATAAAAGAAAATAATAATTGTCAATGTATGCCAAAGCAAGAGAGATAATTACAGATAAAATTTTAAGATATTTCCACAAATATATTCTTTTAATGTATTATTATTAGACTTTGAGTTTTCCTTTGTTGTTGTTGTTGGTTTTGTGGTGTTTGTTCGTTTGTTTGTTTTTCGAGACATTATGTAACCCTAGCTGTCTTGGAAACACTCCCACTTCTTGCCCCTGGGGCATTCCGATGAGCACCAGGGTGTTACAGAAGTCCACACAGAATTTGGAAGGATTCCTGAGGTGGCTTGGATAGCATCACCTCCTGCTTCCTGTGACTGGAACATATCACTTAATCTCTTTGAGCTCAGTTTCTTCATCTATAAAATTTAAATTAAGGTAATAATAACATCTGCCAGGCCTCTTATACATATGGGATTATATGCTTATGCACAAGGGCTAATGTGATCATGAATGTGATTAGCAAGCTCATTATACTTCAAAAGAGCATTGCATACATTTTTTTTAACTCGGGCTTTTGGCTTCTCAGAAAGGCATGATGAGTATACACAGAGAAAGAGGTCCAATAAACTGAGACAGGAAATTACCCCTCTTGATGCTGACATTTCCGTGAACATCTGTAATCCTAGAGCTCCAATGCTGAGATGGCAAGACCGTGAGTTTCAAGCCAGTTTGGGCTGTTAGTGAGACTGTCTCAAAAGAAGGAGGTCAGTATCTGAGGAGATCGCTCACTGGTAAAGTGTTTTCCGAGCCAGCACGAAGACCTGAATCTGAAACCCCATGCCAACAAAAAAGCCAGGCATAGCAGCGTACATCTGTAACCCCAACACCAGGGCAGTGGAGACAGGAAGATCCTACAGTCGGTACAGTGGGTGAGCTCCAGGTTCAGTGAAATAAGCTCTCAAAAAATAAGGTAGAGAGAAAGAAGACACTGGACATCAATCCCCGACCTACACACACACACACACACACACACACAGAGTGGAGTGGCATATATCTGTAATTTTAATATTTGGCACATGGAAGTAAGAGGATCAGAAGTTCAAGTTGTAGCCTTGATACATGAAACCTGTCTCAAAAACAAGCAAATAAACATGAGAATTTGGAGCTGGAGAGATAGCTCATCAGTAAAGAGGACTGGCTGCTCTTCCAGAGGACCCAGACCCAGTTCTCAGCATCCACTTGGCAACTCACAACCATCTGTAACTCCAGTTCCAGAAGACCTGAGATCCTCCTCTGGCCTCTGAGGCTACTGTATACACAGACATACATGCAGACAAAACCCCCATACATAAACTAAAAATAGATAAAATCTCAAAAAGTGAGGGGGGGGCAGAAGAGAATTGTTCCCTTTAATTCATAGGGCAATGCTGGACTGTCTACATAAGGATGCTTCTGATAAAGGAGGTGGACTAGAGAAACCCTATGCATCTATGTTCTTCTTTACAGTAGCTGATCTTCTATGGTCCTTAATACGAAACATCCATCTTCTGAAGAATCTCTTGCCAATGGGTCCTGACTTTGATTTAGAACAGTAAGCTCTTAGCAACAAACCCTGCATTTTTCCTAAAAAGAAACCGTCAGAAAAGTATTCTTCCTCTTCAGCTGATAGCCACGGGTGGGGTTCTTTCTCCTTTATAGGCTGTTTTGATGGCAATGAAAAAAACAAGCGGGAAACAAATGTTGGTTTACAACCTCAGGCCTTGATCTGACAACCAGTCAGATCCAGTTGTAAATGTTCGTCCCGACCAAATGTAGAGACAAGTGTCATTCTTGCTTTTTAGAATTTGTCTTCGGATGATTCTCTCCTAGACCAGCTGTCTTCATTTCTTTTCATTCTTTAACTTGACAGGAGAATTCTGAGTGCTCAGCACTGGAGTAAGATGCAGCCTTTGCTGTGGAAGCCTTCAGAGTCCAGATAAACCCCACATTACAGAGGTGAGCATGGGGTGGGGCCGGACAGGAAGGCCCTCAGAGAAGGACACTCTAGACTGAAGTGTGAAGGAAAAGTAAGAGCTAAAGGGCCTTCTGGAACTGCCTCCTCTTTCTCCCTCCTCTCTCTCTCTCTCTCTCTCTCTCTCTCTCTCTCTCTCTCTCTCTCTCTCTCTCTCTCTCTCTCTCTCAGACAGTCTCTCGTGTCGTCCAGGCTCCCCTCCATCTTGCTCTGTAATTGATTGTATTAGTTACTTTTCTGTTGCTGTGATAAATCGCCATGACCGAAGGCAACTTAAAGAATAGAGACATTATTGTGGCTTACAGTTCCAGAGGGATGAGAGTCCGTGATGGTGGAGCAGAGGCATGGCAGCAGGAACAGGAAGCTGAGAGCAGCTCCCATCTTGAAGCACAAGCAGGAAGCGGAGAAAGTGAACTGGAAGTGTTGGGCGGTTTCTCAAAGTCCAGTCCTAGCGACAGACACACTTAGGGACCCAGTATTCAGATGCCTGAAACTATGGGGAATATTTGTCATTCTAACTTCCACACCAAGCACGACCTTTGAACATCTGGTCCTCCTACCTCCACTTCCCAGATGTTGGGATGACCATTGTGCATATCGTCATGCCCAGCAACCTTTTTTCTTTTTCTTTTTGTTCTTCTCTTAGCCACTTCTTTTTTCTTTTGCAACTGGGCTTGTGTAGTCCAGGCTGTTATTGAATTTGCTATTAGCCGAGTTGGAACTCCTCTACCTCCCGTGTGCTGGGATTACAGGCCACCGTGCCTGGTTTATCCAGTGCTGGGTATCATCCTTGGGGGTTTGTGCACACTCCACCAACTGAGCCACATCCTCAGGCCTCCTCAACATTCTCAACCTTGGAGCAAGTACACCACAGGTCCGGCTGCACCCAAGAGCCTTCCACCTCCTGAGCAGAGCTCCTCTGCCAATTCTCCCCTCCCAGATGACCCTTAGTGCATCCCACACACTCCCAGCAGCCTTCAGGTGTTGAGCAGCAGCTCTCATTTTAGGTATAAAAAACATGGTTCAGCCGGGCGGTGGTGGCGCACGCCTTAAATCCCAGCACTCAGGAGGCAGAGCCAGGCGGATCTCTGTAAGTTTGAGGCCAGCCTGGTCTACAAAGCGAGTTCTAGGAAAGGCGCAAAGTTACACAGAGAAACCCTGTCTCAAAAAACCAAAGGAAAAAAAAAAAAGAACATGGTTCAAGGTAAACCATGACTCCCCAAGGAGAGCAGAAAGAGTTGAGGTCCATCTTCTCTGTCCTCTACATCCCATTCTCATCCCCACTGGTTAGCTGCTACCCACAGCACCTCCCACTCTGAAACAGGGACGAGGAGGGGTCAGTAAAAGAGGAAAGGTGTGGTGGTACAAACCTAACCCGTAGTCCCAGCGAGCGAGAGGCAGAGGTGGGAGCATTTCAAGTCCTGAGCCAGGCCAGCCTATGTAACAAGACCCTCTCTCAAAACCCAAACAGCACACTAACAACAACAACAACAACAACAAAAGGTACATTCTTACTCAGCTCCTGGCACTCACATCATTGTCACTGCCCTCCGCCATGGCAGATGTGTAACTGCCGTCTCCCTCGGTCCACACTGAGGCTCGGATGAAGGCTAAGGGCCCAGCCACCCCTCCAAAGCTGACTTCTAACATCACACAGGCCCTGATGCAGGTGAGTCACTGTCAGGCTGACCTCACCTAGTACCTCCAGCTCCCGGTTACCAGCATACTCCTCCAGGGATGGCATCCAGCCCACTCTGGCTTACCTCAGAGCTTTCCCGAGTTCGTCAGCAGTGGCTCTGTTGGGGAACTCTTCAGACCAACTTGAGGATGGCCTGCCAGTCTCCCCACTGGCAATGCTGCCTCCCTCAGCTCGGGGATGGAAGAGGTACCACAGCACCACTGCCTCCCAGTCCCCAGCCCTTCCCTGCCCATGCTCTCTCATGGCAGGGGTGGTTAACGAGGCAGCCTGCACAACCGGTTTGTGTCACTCAGCCACTGCTGATGGGATTGTTCCATTCCTTGGTCTGGTAGAGGAGACGAGTCACCGGTCTCCCTCCGGAGACACAAGTTACATAAAACAAGACTGCTTGAACCAGCAGCTCAGGATCACGTGATGGGACCTGTGGCAGAAAGGGACTTCAATTTGTTGTCACCTTAATGCAGAGACTCATCACTGGTCACAGTGCTGAGAACAAGTGCCTGTTGAGTCCTAAACAAGACCTGACATCCATGTCACCTCTCCAGGGCTCAGGGAGCCTCTGAAGCCGGGGCAGAAAGGATGCAAGAGCTGGAGGGTGGGAAGAAGTCTTGGGGAGCACTGTCTTCAGAAGGTTATACACCCCTGACCTCATAGCAGCTGAACACAGGAAAGTGACCAGAAGTAGAGGGGTGACGTCAACTCCACCGACTACAGGGTCCCCAGCCCCAAATTCTGTTTTCAGCAGTAAGGAAGTATGAGGAGCCAGGTAGGCAGGGTTGAACAAGAGACCTGTCCCACAGGTACAGCTGCTCTGTGAGGGCTGGCTGGTGATGACCAAAAAGCCTCTGAGTCAAGAATCCAGGAGGTAGGGCCTTCAAGGAGTGCCTGTGGAGGGGCAGGTCCTGTGTCCAGACAGAAAGAGCAGCACCAGTTCCAGGCCAGCCCAATCTTCATAGCAGACCCTGTGTGTGTGTGTGTGTGTGTGTGTGTGTGTGTGTGTGTGTGTGTGTGTGTGTGTATAAAGACTTTTTTTTTTTGAGACAGGGTTTCTCTGTGTAACAGCCCTGGCTGTCCTGGAACTCACTCTGTAGATCAGGCTGGCCTCGAACTCAGAGAGTCACCTGTCTTTGCCTCCCGAGTGCTGAAATTAAAAGCGTGCACCACCCCGAAGACATTTTATTTATTATTTATTTATTTACTTATTTTGGTTTTTTGAGACAGGGTTTCTCTGTGTAGCTTTGGAGCCTGTCCTGGAACTCGCTCTGTAGCCCAGGCTGGCCTCGAACTCACAGAGATCCGTCTACCTCTGCCTCCCACGTGCTGGGATTAAAGGCGTACGCCACCACCGCCCGGCCAGAAGACATTTTAAAAAGTTTATTTATTCATTCCATGTATGGATGTGTACCTGAATGTATGTGTGCTCACCATGTGTGCACAGGTGCTCACATAAGCCAGAGGAGGGCCGTCAGATCTTCTGGAACTGGAGTTATAGACAGCTGTGAACCTCAAATGCAAATGCTTGGAAACCTAACTCAGGTTCTCTGTGAACACAGCTCTGAGCCATCTCGCCATCCCCTAGAGAAGAAAACTTACATTACTACTTTGCAGATGAAATAAGACTCTTCAAAGAAAATTCCTCTAAAGTGAATTTCTTTTTCTTTTTTTTTTTTTAAGATTTATTTATTATGTTATACAGTGTTCTGTCTGCACATACCCCTGCCCACCAGAAGAGGGCAGTAGATCTCATTATAGATGGTTGTGAGCCAACATATGGTCGTGGGGAAGTGAACTCAGGACTTCTGGAAGAGCAGCCAGTGCTCCTAACCTCTGAGCCATCTCTCCAGCTCCCTAAAGTGAATTTCTGATACGCCGAGGCTTGTTTGTTTTTGAGACAGGGTCTCCCTATACCTTGTCTGTCTTTTCGTGCCTGTGCTCCTCTGCACTTAATGAGGGCTGTCTGCATGAGCCTGGGTGTGGGGTTATTTACTCCGGCAAGGGCAACCTACCAGGGACTACACCACTGAGGACTATGACTCCCTCCTCTCCGGCAATGTTATTAACTATCTACAGCTCCTCAGACGGGGTGGATTCCACTCCACCCATGATGGAATATTCATGGGCTTGCACAATGTTATTGTGCAGGTAACCACAGCTGCTGTGAGGTCATGGGTGCGTCAGCCATGTCACCCTCAGAAGAGAATGTTCCCCGAGACCTCTTCCCACCCTCCAGCTCTTACATCCTTTCTGCCCCCTCTTCAGAGGCTCCCTGAGAGGTGACATGATGAATGTCATGTTTTGTTTAGGACTAAGCATGCAACAGGTACCTGTTCTCAGCACTGTGACCAGTGATGAGTCTCTGCACCAACCTCTGCCTGCTGCAAAAAGAAACTTCTATGACCAAGGCTAATCTGGGGTTATGAACATAGATAGATTTAAAGACATTGTAACAACACCGATGGTGTTGATCCACACTTTTAATCCCAGCACTTGGGAGGCAGAGGCAGGTGGATCTCTGTGAGTTCCAGGCTAGCCTGGTCTACAGAGTGAGTTCCAGGACAGCTGGAGCTACATAGTAAAACCCTGTGTCCCAAAACAAAACATGAAACAAAACAAAAAGACATTGTAACAACATGCCTATTTAACAAAGAGACAGTAGTAGGTTCCTCCCTAGGACCCTGAACTCTCCCCTTCCATGTCCTCTGCCTCCACCTCTTAAGTGCTAGAGTTATAAGCCTGCCCCACCACAGCAGGTAATATCACTTTAAATTATAAAACTGAATTACATTTACCATGTACCAATAGAAGAAACAGGACATTTTATTTCATCCCCCTGTCATTTTTTAAAGATGGGCTCTCTACAGTCCAGCAGGGCCTGGAGCTAATAAGGAAGAAGGAAAGAGGAAGGGAGAGAGGTGAGGAATAGGAAAAAGAAGAAGAGGGAAGAGAAGATGCCACAGCCCCCAGCTAAGGGAATGTGGCTGAAGATGATCCCCTCCCCCTGCCCATTGCCATCATCATCTGTATAGCAGGACACTTCCTCCAAAAGTCCCAACCCTTGTCACAGACTCTCATCCCCGAAGACACAGCCTGTGGTGTCAGGCCACTTTGGTTCGATGGGTGAAACATGGAGAGACTGTAGAATCTCGGTTCCCACCTCGATCCCACGCTTGTTCAATCCCTGGTAGTAGGAGAATATGTGAGCTGCTTTTATTGTTGCTGTGATCAGCTACCTGACAAGAAGCAACCTAAGGAAGAAAAGGCTTATCTTGCCTCTCAGTTTGAGGT